TTGTGCTTGGGATTGCCCCAACCCAGCTGTAGGACCTTGCACTTGGCCTTGTTGAACTGCATGAGGTTGGCTTGGGCCCACCTCTCCAGCCTGTCCAGGTCCCTCTGGATGGCATCCCTCCCCTCCAGCGTGTCCACCTCACCACACAGCTTGGTCACGTCGGCAAACTTGCTGAGGGTGCACTCCATCCCACTGTCCATGTCACCAACAAAGATGTTGAACGGTACAGGTCCCAGTACGAATCCCTGAGGAACATCACTTGTCACTGGTCTCCACTTGGACATCGAGGTCTTGACCGCAACTCTTTGAGTGCGACCGTCCAGCCAAGCAGCTGGTACAGTGCTGCATGTAGTCTTTTAGCATAACAAAAAATGTTGCTAATACACTCGTGTTTTGGTAGCATTGTCCCTAAGTCTGGGACTTTTCAGTTCCTGATGATCTGCCAGGGAGGGCAGGCGTGCAAGAAGTGTAAACCAGGAGATAAGGAGGTGAAACCCTCAGCAAGGACTGCAAATCAACGAGACAGGAGCAGTCAACGGCTGGTTTGACTGCACACAGAAAAAGAATCCAATCAGGTGTTAGAAAATCCCAGACCAAAAATCACCATTGGACTAAAAGACACACGAAGAGCGTGTGAGGAGCGGGTACACACATCGCCAGGGTATACTCGCCCAGGGAGTTCTTTGTTCGACGTCCCCGCTGGAGGCACCCAGCCCGGGCTCTCCTTGCTGCTCTACCTTTCACAGAATCACAGGATCACAGAATTTTCAGAGTTGGAAGGGACCTCTAGAGCTCACCCAGTCCCACTCCCCTGCTAAAGCAGGACTGCCCGGAGCACATCCCTCAGGACTGCATCCAGGCGGGTCTTGAAAATCTCCGGAGAAGGGGACTCCCCCAACTCCCTGGGCAGCCTTGGCCACTGCTCGGTCACCCCAACCGTAAAGAAGTTTTTCCGTGTGTTGGAACGGAACTTCCTCTGTTCCAACTTGTGCCCATCGCCCCTCGTCCTGTCACTGGGAACCACCGAGAAGAGTCTGGCTCCATCCTCCTCCAACCCACCCTTTAGATATTTGTATGCCATAATAAGGTCTCCCCTCAGCCCTCTCTTCTCCAGGCTGAAGAGTCCCAGCGCTCTCAGCCTCTCCTCATACGGGAGATGCTCCAATCCCTCAGTCATCTTGGTTGCCCTTCGCTGGACTCTCTCCAGCAGTTCCCTGTCCCTCTTGAACTGGGGAGCCCAAAACTGGACACAGTATTCCAGTTGTGGCCTCACCAGTGCCGAGTACAGAGGGAGAATGACCTCCCTCGACCTACTGGTCACACTCTTCCCTATGCAGCCCAGGATTCCATTGGCCTTTTTGGCCACCAGGGCACATTGCTGGCTCATTGACAATTTACTATCTACCAGGACCCCCAAATCCTTCTCCTCAGAGCTACTTCAATGACATCATTCGTTTTTATAAATCCCAACGCCTGAGACTGCTGTGGGAAACCTCAGGTCGAGCCTGAAGGAGGTGGAAGCGCGGCTGAGAGTAAGTGCGCGTGTGTGTGGCGTCGCACAGGGCATTCGTTGGCTCCAGGGAGTCACCCGCTGCAAAGGGACCACGGTCCTGGCGGGTGAAGACTCGGGCAGAGAGTGCGCGACTCCAGGAATGGCATGTGACTGCTCCGGCAGCGGCTGCTCCTTTAACACACGCGACGCCACAGCACCTTTGCTCCCCGCAGGAGCCCATCACCCATGCCAGGCACAGTCCGCACGACCCATGGCCTCAGACAGCCAAGCCGGCAGGTGGATGGGTTGTAGGGCGAGGGGGAGGCAGTAGAAACCCCTCAGCAAGGAGGGATGAGGGGTCCTGAAGTGTTCTCCTTAGACCTGCGGCTTCCACGTTGAGGGGTGGCAAGAAAGGACGAGCCACGGACGCCTCGGTGTAAGGTTCAGGGACGGTGGTATGCAGAGGCGGCTGCGGGCTGGAGATGCCGTGGGTGCACCGGTGAGCCAGCGCGACCCCCTCGTCCCGAAACTGCTTCTCACAGCTGCTGGACTGGAAGGGCTTGGCCTTCACCCTCCCCCATCGCCGGGGACGGACCTCCCTCCTGCTGAGGTCCACCCTCCGGCGCTGCCAACGCACCCTGGTGCAACCGCTTGTGGCAATTCAGGCCTTCCTTGCGGCTGTAGGTCTTGCCACACACACCGCACTTGTAGGGCCTCTCCCCGGTGTGGACCCGCTGGTGGATGGTGAGGGTCTGCTTGTCCCTGAAGGCCCTGGGGCAGTGGGTGCAGGGAAAGGGGCGCTCCCCGGTGTGGACGCGCTGGTGGATGGTGAGGGCCTTCTTGTGCTTGAAGGTCTTGGGGCAGTGGGCGCAGGTGAAGGGGCGCTCCCCGGTGTGGACCCGCTGGTGCTCATTAAGCGCCATCTTGCTCCTGAAGGTCTTGGTGCAGCGGGTGCAGGCGAAGGGGCGCTCCACTGAGTGGACCCGTTGGTGGTCGGTGAGGGCCTTCTTGCTGCTGAAAGCCTTGGGGCAGTGGGCGCAGACAAACGGGCGCTCCCCGCTGTGGGTCTGCCGGTGGTCACTGAGGGCCTTTCTGTTGCTGAAGGCCCTGGAGCAGTGGGCGCAGACAAAGGGGCGCTCCCCAGTGTGGACCCGCTGGTGGTCATTGAGGGTCTTCTTGTCTTTGAAGGCTTTGGGGCAGAGGGTGCAGGCAAATGGGCGCTCCCCAGTGTGGACCCGCTGGTGGTCATTGAGGGTCTTCTTGTCTTTGAAGGCTTTGGGGCAGTGGGGGCAGGGGAAGGGGCGCTCCCCGGTGTGGTCCCACTGGTGCATGGTGAGGGCCGTCCTGTCCCTGAAGGTCTTGGGGCAGCGGTCGCAGGCGAAGGGGCGCTCATCAGAGTGGAGCCGTTGGTGGCCGGTGAGGGTCTGCTTGTTCCTGAAGGCCTTGGGACAGCGGTCGCAGGCATACGGGCGCTCCCCAGTGTGGATCCGCTGGTGGCCAGCAAGGCACGTCTTGTCCCTGAAGGTCTTGGGGCAGAAGGCACAGGCGAAGGGGTGCTCCCCGGTGTGGGTGAGCTGGTGACGGATCATGTGGTACTTCTGCCTGAACTTCTGGCCGCAGTGGCCACAGGCAAAGGGCTTCTCGCCAGTGTGCACGCCCCGGTGGATCAGCATGTAATGCTTCTGAGCGAAGCGCTTTCCACAGTCGGTGCAGCTGAAGGGCTTCTCCTCACCGAGCTCCTGCTGTGACACCGGGTTCTGCTTCGGCTTCTGCTCCCGCTGCTGCTTCGGCTGAAACTGGCGGCTGCAATGCCGGCAGGACAAGGGCCGTGCTGCCGTGTGCATCAGCTGGAACAACTTCTGGCCCCAGCTC